ACAGCTTGTGGCATGAAGTACATTCACATTGTTGTGCAATCATCACTACCATCTGTCTGCAGAGCTTTTTCATCTTTCCTAAATGAAACTCTATTTCTATAAAACACTACCCCTTCATTCTCTCCTCCTCCAAGTCCCCAGAAACCACCATTCTACTTTTTGTCTTTATGAATCTGACTGCTCTAGATACCTTGTATAAGTGGACTCATACCATAGTTGTCCTTTTGTAACTGGCTTATTTTATTAGAATAGTATCTCCAAGGTTCATGCATGTTGTAGAGTGTGTCAGAATTTCCTTACTTTTTAATGCTAATATTTCCTTCTATGTATCTACCAAATTTTGCTATTCCATTCATCCATTGGTGGACTTTTGGGTTGCTTCTACCTTTTAGCTATTGTGAATAGTGCTGTTATGAACATTGATGTACAGATCTTTGTTTGAATTTCTGCTTTCAGTTCTTCTGGGCATATACACAGAAGTACAATTGCTGAATCATATGGTACTTTCATGTTCTTGACCTTGGCTTTTTATGAATTGAAGTTTCTTGAAAGGTCTAGCTTTGATACGTTTTCTTTCAACAAAGACATAATACACATGTAATTCTTGTACTGAGTAATCCGAATCAAGTTCACTTTTCTCCACGTTTAACTTTGCCCTGTTGCATTCCTGACTGTTAATGATACCTTGGAAGATTCCATAACTTTCCAGTCACTTAGTTACTAAAGACTAGCACAGTCTGATTAAACACTCTAGGTTCTCCTCTCCACTCTTTCCCTGCCTCCTGGATTGGGTTTGACTGAGGAACCAGGAAGGGTGGGAGGATAGGGTCTGCTCTCCCATCAACCTCCCTTCCTGCCCCCAGGTTCTAGCTCCCATGTGGGTAGGAAGAAAGAAAGGGACAAGTGCTTACTTATTACCCCCTTTAAAAAGAATTCATATAGAGAGTCCCTTTATTAGATGCAACCTAGTCTCTCTATTTAGACACTCCTGCAATTGATTAGATCACTACTTGGACCCTGTTACTGAGATTTCTTATGATTTGTTCGTTTTGTCTGTTGCCCCTAATTGATTGGACTGAAGCTGTTGGTGTTGCACACAGCCTGTATAAGTTGATTTTTACATTTATCTTTTCAGAAAGCTAACTCTTGGTTTCATTGATTTCTCTAACCTGGACATGTTGGCATATACATATCTTTCCAAGTTCATTCCTGAGTCATTTTTCTGGATTCTCCATTGTAAAAATGCCTTTGGTAACCCAAATGCTGATAGCTTCTTAGGTCAGGAAACTTTGTGAATCCAATATATTTGGATTTTCCTTCTTTAAATTTTAGAATTTAAGCTTACTTCCCAGTTCTGGAAGTACAGCTCATTTCCAGATCTTAGTGCTGAGCACCAGAGTGAATTTTGGCATAGATTCTGACTTTCTGCTACACTGTATGCTACACATACAGTGCTATCAAATAGAGGTAGGCCAGGTTACAGGGAAACCAAACAGCATACAGTGTTATGAAATGCTGCACCTACTGCAACTCCTTCTTCATGAACTGCTATAAAAGTAAGAGTTTATAAAATAATTTAGGCCAGGTGTGGTGGCTCACGCCTGTAATTCCAGCACTTTGGGAGGCTGAGGTGGGCGAATCATCTGAGGTTGGGAGTTCGAGACCAGCCTGACCAACATGGAGAAACCCTGTCTCTACTAAAAAGACAAAATTAACTGGGTGTAGTGGTGCATGCCTCTAATCCCAGCTACTTGGGAGGCTGAGGCAGGAGAATCACTTGAACCTAGGAGGCAGAGGTTACAGTGAGCCAAGATCGTCCCATTGTACTCCAGCCTGGGCAACAAGAGCGAAACTCTGCTTCAAATAATAAGAATAATAATTTAAAATGTTTTATAAAGATTAAAAACTATGACAAGAAAATTAAAACCATTTGAAAGTACTTTATCCAAAAAAGAAATACTATTGCCATTTTAAAAACATACATAGATATATCTATATTTGAGATACCATAATATATGGTTTTATGTCCTGATTTTTTAACCTAGTATGAATGTTTCTCTACATCATTAAGAATTATTTGAAGGCATGATCTTTAATGGACAAATTAAATTGTGTTGTATTTATCATGATTCAGTTAATAATTATCTAAGTTTAGATTATTTATATTAATAGCAATATCTAATAATTATTCAGTACTTACTATGTGCTAGTCAGTGCTTTAATGCCTTACATATATTTACTCTTCATTTAATTCTCATAACACTTTTGAGATCCTCATTTTGCAAGCAAGAAAACTGAGGTGTAGAGAGGTTAACAACCAAAGTCTCACCTTGTGATTGGAAGTTGGTTAAGTTGTAATTGTTACTCTAGCTAGTCTGGCTCTCTAATTTGTAATCTTAACCAGTATACTACCTGACTCACTGTATGATAAGTATCTTCTTGGGGAAAAAAAATCTTTATCTGCATTTCTGATAGTTTCTACTGGGAAGGTTCCTAGAGGTGAAATAACTAAGTCAAGAGCCAGGAAAACTTTTAAACTTAAAGGCATGTTGTCCAGTTGCCCTCCAGAAAGTTCTTACCAGTCCATGTTCACACCAATAGTGTGAAGAGCCTGCCTGTGCACTGACTCCCACCACTGTTGTTTAATTCCTCTTTAATAACCCTGAATTTGGGATCTCCCAGAATGGTTAAGATAGTCCAACGATCCAGGGCTCCCTTAAGAACATAGAAAATCCAATTTTATACAAATGTGGAGTCATTTGTATGTATACCTCAGATAATACTACATCTTTGTTTTATTGGTCCATACATAAACGAACTTCCTTATCTCATCATCAGTAGATGTGAGAAATTGCTAATATGAGTATGTACTAAGACTGTGTCAAGTCTCACACCTGTCAAGGGTGCCCTTCAGAATGCAGCCCTATTTTGACAACTGCTGTCATGGGTGGTATTTGTGTTTTCTCAGGCTTTTAGGCAGTTGGAAGTAATTTCCCATTAATGATCTTATACTGCTCTTTGGTTTAAAAAAATAGCATTGTAAAAGTATGTCCTGCTCACATATATTTTTCCCTTGATTAGCATTATAGAATATACACAAAATGTTGCACTGCATTTGCATTTCCAGGTAATAGTAACTTTTGGTAACCCTGGTTTTTATCTTTTGAAGATAATTTCTTTACTACCCCCAGTGAACAGTGATATTATCAGGCAGAAATCCCCCAGACTTTTTAATAGAAAAGTTGAAAAAAATTCCGTGGAAATATCACAGGGAAAAGGATTTTGGTAATTTCTACAGTGATCTGGACAACTTCGATGAGGAATTGAAAATATTCCTTGTGGCCGTATGAAAATTAATCGCTCATCCTTCGCTGGCACTTTGGATTAGCAATTTGTCATCACTATTTTCTGAAAGAATCTTGATAGAATCAGATGTTTCACTGTTCTTCATTAAGGTTCTGTGTCTGTGCAGGTACTGCTTGGACTTTGAATTGCTTTAGATTCTAAAAAGTATATAAATCAGGCAAGAAGCTCGTAACCTGGAGCAAATAACAAATGCACACTTACTGTGAACTATCTGGAAGCCTGTGTTGGTTGTGATTCCTTTTATTTTTATTTTTAAGCGTGACTCCTGGTAGAAGCTTTGTCTTGAACACAATGCTGTTGTTAATAGCGAATGAAATGGCTGGAACTGTGCTGGGGGAAAAAAAACATAGGCTGAAGGATTTATAGCAGACCACTGCAAACCAAATGTTGCAATTATCTGCAGCTGAAAACAAGTAGCTTTTAATATGTCCATTTGGCCAAGAAGAGGGAGGAGAATTATAGACCATTGCTCTTTCCTCTCTCATTCTCATACTCTTGTCTTCTTCTTTATGTAGTTTATCATCCATAATTTCAGGATGTATTTTGCTTCTTTAAGCTGTTTTATCTGTAGGCTTATGAGGTCACTCATGTGTGAATTCCTTTGTTAGTCATCTCACCTTTTGCCTTGATGATAGAAAATTGATCAGGCCTAAAGTACAAGTTCAATAGACAACCCCCTTGGTCCTTTGTCTAGGAGAATAGCTACCATTGAAGGCCATGAGCAGGTTGCTATTAATATGACAGCCTGCTCTATCTCCCACTGTAATTTATAATGAAATACCTAATCTCCATTATTTTGATCCAAGCAGGCGATCCCATGAAAAAGTCTTTTCATCCAGTTCCCAATGGCTGTTACATGAGAAATGGCAAACCAATAATTTTTGTCAAGTTTTTTAAGCCAACAGAAATGCTTTTCCACTGCTACAGTTTCAAAAGGCACAGATAAAGCTCATTCACTGAGATGAATGAAAAAGCCATCTGGGGTTTTTCTTTTTGACTTCCTTTCCTTTTCTCCATCCTAGTAATCAAATTTGAGCAAAATCAAATGGGGCTTTCTATGAAAGTACCTTTTGTTGATCTGAACGAGCTGGTAATTTACAAAATACCCTTCCTTTGTGAGGAAGGCTAAAGAAAAAAAGAATCAGTAGCTTTTAAAGCTGGGCCTTAGTGGGGCTCTAAATGCAATGAAAGCAGTCTGTGTTGAGAGATTGAAATGCATTTCAAAGCCAGGCCTGACTCGGGGTACAAGGAAGAACAGACCTATGTGCATTTTGTAGGAAGAAAAATGTGAATGGAAAAAGGAGAAGGGGAGAGAAACAGGGGGGAAATCTGGATAATACATTAAAGTAACCATAATTTTGGAGATGCATTCATCTTACTGAAAATGTGTACGTAACCAGTGATACCGAAGTTGGATATTTGCTCAATCAGGATGCTCAACAATTTGAGCCTTTAAAGTTTGGAGCTGCATGGGTTTGTGGAGAAAGTCGGCTCGTGATGTGTGTGATGTTTTTCTCCAACTTTTTCTTTTTCTTCTTTGCTTTGGGATCTTATGGGAAGTACCTCAAGAAAACCTGAAGATGCTAATTTTTAGACAACTAATACTTCCTATTTTCCCTTCTTTTGCCTGCTAGATTTCCTCATGGCTGTGATTCTTCTTCACTCTTTTGAATTTGGAAGGATGGCATACACATCTGAAAAGTAGTAAGTAATGTGTGATTTATTTTTCAATTACTAGTTAATTGTAATAAAGCTGAAATTTGATTACTGGAGGAGTTTGAAATCATCATGCATGCCTTGAAGGAAAATGGGTTTTGTGCAACATTTGCATTATTTGGTGTGGATTACCTTTGGTTTGATTTAACTGTTTATCACACAATTACTGTTGTGATAATGAATGTGTTATTCACTATTGCTAAATTTACCCAGTACATTCTGTAAAAACTAAGTGTTTGTGCCATATAATATATGCATTCTTAGTACAGCAGTTTAAGAAACAATGCAAATATTGCAGGGAGCTGTCTTTGGAGATGCTAAGTTTTCTTGTTTTATTTACCACACAATCTTCCTCACACATTTATAGTTTTAATTCATAGTAATAATGTTTTCTAAGGACCTTTCTATTTATGCCTGAAATGAAATTCTATAAATTATGTGAGCTTATTTCTTTAAAATGAATATCCAGAGAGAGGCAAGAATTTTTCTGACATTATTAAACTGCATTTTTAATGCAGTTTAAGTGACATTTCTTTTAATCAAACATTGTAATTAAAATAACAAAGCTTTCATTAGAGACATTTTTCTCATTTGGGAAAGTGAAAAGTTCATTTTTAGCCTCCTAAAAATAAGACAGACTTATGCTACCTGAAGACATGATACCTTGGATTAGAGTACATGCCACAAGTATTTTTTAAAACATAAATTCAGCATTGGCATTTCTGAGTAACTACAGTGCATATTTTAAATAAATAAATGCCTTAGAATGAAGCAATATGGGGCAGACGTTCTGACGTCTCTGAGATAGCTTGAACAGTATTTGCATTAGGGCTGGCACTGCTAGCAGATCCTGAGAATTTCATGTAGGCAAACATGAGATCCTTGTTTCTGGAGACAAGAAAAAAACAAGATTAATTAAAACCAAGTCCTATGTTGTTTAACCCTTAAAATAACAGTCAGTATTTATAGAGATGCTGAAATGGGGAATAGGATTCAGATTATTTCACAAAGGTCTCTGCGAGGGCCAAACCCTCTCCCTTCTAACTATTCCTCACATCGAATATAAATTCCTGGAAGTTTGTATTTAAAATGAAGTCTGTTTTCTAAGCTTTTGCAGCTGCAGGTCTCTGCCAACTTCCTACATTTATCTTTGCTTGTGTTTTCGAGCCATTTGCTGCCTCCTAATGCCTAACTTTAAAATAGCATGCATGGCAGCCTGCCAAGACGGTGGCAGTGGCATATTGGTTTGTATTGGTGTTGAAGTTGCAAAGTTTTTGTTACCGATAATTTGTAACAATTGCAACAAAAGAGATTATTAAAACCTGAGGGGATAGGAGACAGGAAGGAGAACAAAATTGCTGCACTTCTTCATGAATCAAAGTGTGGTTCTTCCTGCAAAAGTGAATTGGGTTGTTGTGTTGTCTACATGGGTATGATGCTCTAGATGACCTGCACATTGTCACTGAGGTTATTGCCTGTAATCTTAGACTGATAGAGAAGTGCAGTATAAAAGAGGGTTTGTCTAGGGGATGTAATCAATTATACACATTATGCAATTTTTTTTTTCTCAGGCTATTGACTTAATTCTTTTATATAAATTAAGATTGTTGTTAAGTTAAGGTTGTTCCTTTTTTTGTGTTTTAGTTCGTGAAAGAAAAAGTTTATTATTTAGGAGTGTCGTGGTTGTTTTGTTGTTAATACAAATTAGTACCTGGGAAATAATGCTTTGTCTTTTGCTTGCTAGTTTCATGTCTAGTCAATCTTGTAAGCCTTTTGCAAAAGTTCTCTTCTATGTTTCCTTTAAGCACTTTTGGTAAAACTAGAGGTACTTTGTTTTGTTGCAGTTATGAAAGATCTCTGTGAAGACAGAGAAATAGGTTAAGAAATAGGTAATTAGGCCCTAAAATTAGCGAAGGTTCCTGCTTGCTCCACTTATCAAGGATTAGCTGTTCTGAAACTCTTGTTAGTATAGCAATCTACTAACAAGAATAATGTTTGTACCTACCCTGAGAGAAGAGAAATCCTCTTTCTCTCAGCGTAGGTATAAACATTAAGCACCTGCATTTTGGGGAGCTGGAGAGCTAATTATTTTCAATTACCCATTGGGACAAAGGAAACCATCTCACACATTTTGCTTGTGAACTTCATATTCTCAAGTATAACAACTGATATGTTACACACTTTACTTTTTGCTAAGCCAATACAAAAATAAAAACAAATCAACAAAAATCATTCCTGGAAAGTTTAGAAATATAGATCCACAAAGATGATCCACAGAGATACCTCGAAATATCTTTAAAACTTATCAGAGGAAAGGAAATGAGTGACACATTTGTAAAGACTCTAAGCATCTGAGATTGACTTTAAAGTTCTGTTTTTCTTCTAGTAAAATTAAAACTTTATTGTGCTTCATGTCAGAAACTTGGAGCCGCTTTTCCATTACAGTGATGCTATTGAGGTTTCAATGCTTTCAGGGCCTACTAATAGAACCCAAAAGTGGAGAGAAGGCTCATGAAGCACCGTTCCTCTCTGGGTGGAGGTCCTGGTCCCTGCTTAAGCCCTGCCAGTAGAAGCTATTACCTAAAAGGTGTTCTTTTATTGTCTTAGGCAGGACATGCCCATGCTTTGACATACCAGCAGGCAATAACAGATTGCTTGACTAATCAATCTGCATTCTCTAGGGTTCAGGATGCAGGAAAGTATTTGGCCTGGTTTTCACTCCAGCTTTATATTGATGCCTCTGGACTCATTACCAGCATCTTTGCACTTTGCTTTCCTCAGGTGTCAAAAGAGAATGTTATATGTCCTTTGCTTGTTTCTTGTCTTGCCTTCTATGGGCTGGGCAGACATACTGGGATATACTTTTTGGCACAAATATGATGGTCGGTCTAGTTAGCTTAGCTGGTGATGACATAATGACAAAGAAGACAAGACCAACACACACTGATGTCACTCCTAACCCCAGATGAGAGCCAACTTTAGATGACAAAGGGGATAAAGCAGATATTGATCAATGCCCAGACCATTCCAGTTATTCGTCAGACAACCCTCAGCATGGCAGCAGCAGCATCCAAAAGGGAGAAAAATGTGCCAACTCCCATCATGTCTTAAAATTCAGAATGGGGAAACTGGGAGCATAGTAAACAGAAAAAAATCTATTTTGTAGCACCACCTTTTACAAGCATTTTGGTACGTGTTATAATACAATACAGTAGATATAAATAATGTCCAGATAATTAAGAATAGAGAAAATATAAATTGGTTTGAGACTTAGGAGGGAAAAGAACAACACAAATATGAAGACCATATTTTTTTACATTTTTAACATTTTTTTGAGTCATAGACTTGGCTCAAGGCTTTTAACAGCTAAAACAAAAGTGGAAAAAAGTCATCTAGAGGATGACTTCCATATAGTGAGCATTTTATACAGCCCTAATGGTTACAACAACCTCAAAGCCATCTATTGTTACCCTTGTTTTCTGGTGGAAAAAATGCAGAATCAGAAGGATTCAGTTACCAGGTGCTGGTTACACAGGCAACATATGCCTCTGTGGGATTAAATTCAGGTCTCTCTCACTCTCATAGCATTGACTTCCTTTGGGTAACGTAAAAGTCAGCTGTTCCTGCAGTCTCCTGCACATGCATACCCTATTTCCGTGATTGCCCAAGGCCAATCCAGAATCACGGATGTCAGGTCTTCACTGAAGTTCTCTAATGGAATCTCCTTTCACAGAAGAGTGAGTGGGCAATGTGGACTTTACTGAGTGGGAAGTGGAGAGGATGAGCTTTGCATATCCCACATCAAGCCACTTAAACATTCCTATTAAACATTCTGGTCTGCAAAGTACCTTTTCCATTTGCTAAAATTGGAGGTTCCTCTCTTTGATGCTTCCTTCATGTTCCACCCAGCTTCCCTAGCTGCTTTCTTCTATTCCTGCGTCACCCTTCCCTAGCTGCTTTCTTCTATCCCTGCGTCCCCCTTTCTCTCCTCATTAAAACATAATAGGGAGCAATATGGTTTTGCCCCAGCTTCTAAAACTAAGCTTGCATGTCTAAACCCAGTGCCATGCTTAACACACCTCCAAAACCCTTCTCTGTGATAGTTCTTACTTTACTTAGTAGAAATGAGGATGATGTAGCAATTGAAATAATCCCATTGCACATTTTACTTTGGGGAAAAACATACCAGTCTCTTGGCTTTTGAGGCATTTAGTTTTGAAAAAATATTCTTCAGTGGGATGTCAAGGAGGATTCAGGGGACAGTGTCTCCATCAACAGGCATTACAGAAAATGTCATTACTCTTTTGCTACCCCCCGATGACTGAATTCAAGGTGCCACAGGAAAAAAATCTTAGAACATGTTAGTGTATACGGGGCCACAACCACATAATTAAAGGATAGCTTTAAATAGAAAATTAAGGATGGAGGGAGGGGTGAAGCTAAGAATGAGAAAAGAAATAAAGGAGACTTACCTATTAATAGAATGCTAGAAATGAATTTGAGTCTCCCTTTCAGTATGTACAATAATTTCATTGTATACTATATAGAAAACTATATCCTATATTTACATATTAAATAAACAAAGTTGATATTATTTAAATGATAATAGAATGCCGATGCCTATAAAGGGAAAGACAGGCCAGAGACCCTGAAGAATGGAAACCAAGCCTTCTTCAGGCTTAATATCACAAAGGTTTAGACTGTGATAATACACATTAAATCATGTGATTAGGTAGTAGGGCATTTATCAGTTCGGTTTCTATGTACTCTTTTAAAAAAATTGAAAAGAGAAGAATCAACTGTAATAGCTCAACATATATGATTTGTTTTAAGTTTGAGGCATGGAGTGAAAACTGAGAAGAAACATTTTATAAAACCTTTTGAAACCCCAGGTTTAGAAAGCCTTCAGATTCATTTGTCTGCACTCAGGTGTATTTTCTGCATAGGTTTCCTTTTAAATTACTCAGGTCTTTACTTCTGCTTTTTGGCTTAAACAGCTGATGTTATATGGTTCTTGGAGCCTTGAACTTGATTGTCAGCCAGTGTAGCTCTTTTAGGAGAGGATGTCAAATCTGCCAGCCATCCAAAATTGCCTACATTGTCATTGCTCTAATGAGTATGTCCTTCAAGAATCAATTGGAGGCTAAAAATAAATGCCTTTTGATGTTTACAGACTCCTTATAAAGTGCTCTGAAACCAATATGAAAGATTATAATTTTTCTCTCTCACTAAGACAGTTACAAGAACAGATTTAATAATATATATTTTCTTTTGTCAGAAGAACAAGCTCTCTTAACAAATATATGCTAGATCATTAGGGGTGAAAAGACATGGGCACAGTGACAAAAGTGTGCTATGAAAAGTAAAACATAGCTATTTCCAATTTCTTTTATAAACTGAAGGGTAAAGTACTTCATCCAGCGGAATCATTTAGTACCTTAATAGTTCAAAGGTAGAAGCCAGCAGGACTCAGTGAAATGAAGATGTGAGCACAAGAAAAATTGTGCTCCTCCAGCCTTGCTGTGCAGAAAGTTTGAAATTTGGCCACAGGTCGCGCAGAAATTCAGGATTTCTTTCATCTGCTGGGTAAGTCAGCTCTGGAAATATGGCTCCTTAAGCACACAGCAGAGCCCTTTCCTGTCAAGCCTGCTTGGATGACTCCTCTGAAACAACTTGGTTTAAAAAAAATATGGGGGCTACTAGGCATGGCCAAAGAGAAAGTCACTTCTATTTCCTCACAGAAAATTCAAAACTAGACAACTACTTTTCTGGCAAAAAAAAAAAAAAAAAAAAAAAAAAAAAGCCGGGTGCAGTGTCTCATGACTGTAATCCCAGCAGTTTGGGAGGCCAAGGCGGGCGGATCACAAGGTGAGGAGATCAAGACCATCCTGGCTAACACGGTGAAACCCCGTCTCTATTAAAAAAAAAAAAAAAAAAGACACACACACACACACACACACACACACACACAATTAGCCGGGCGTAGTGGCAGGCACCTGTAGTCCCAGCTGCTCGGGAGGCTGAGGCAGGAGAATGGCGTGAACTCGTGAGGCGGAACTTGCAGTGAGCTGAGATCATGCCACTGCACTCCAGACTGGGGGACAGAATGAGCCTCCGTCTCAAAAAAGAAAAAAAAAAAAAAAAGTCCAGCTGCCTACAAGGACAGCATCATCCATCATCAATGCAATGAAAACAGAAAAAAAAAAAAAATTAAAAAGAAACTTTCCCCTTTCTGTCCTTCATTCCTCTACCTTCCCTTCTAAAATTAAAAATAAATTTCTTCTAATTTTTTTTTTTTTTGGAAGGGAGAGTAGTGGAAAGAGGAATGAAGGACAGAAAGGGGAAAATTCCAGGCATAAGGTAAATTTTAGAACAATTCACTGGTGTTTTGAATCCTTTCTCTAATTTGCTCAAAGTGTTTATTAATGCCCACTCTATACCTAGAGGGTCAAAAATGTTTAAAGGCTTTATAACATAAAGTCACACAATTTTAGAGTTTCTTTCTGCTTCTGGCAGTGCGATTGCCAGCTGGGGGGGCGAGCAGTACAAGGAAAGGGTGACCCTTATGAACAGCGTGTCAGGATCTCCAGGTTTCTGTTTGTTGTTTCAGAAAGTCTGTGAGCCTATCTACTGTAATAGTATAATGTCATATTTGAAAAATGCAAAAATACCATTGTTTCAATGATTTGAACATCACAAACTAATGTTCCACAGAATCTCCTTGGTCAGACCCCAGTGGGGATATGCAGAGGGTAAGTCATTCTCAGCCTGCAGTAGCCTCTGGATAAAGCATGGGCAGCTCTTTCAGAATGTAGTTGGTGCTGGGGGAAGCATAAGACTTTACATGTTTATTAAAAATAGGGTATAGGTTAAAATAGGGTAAGAAAAACTGGTTTAGATCAGAACGAAGAACAGATTTGGGGAGTGTTCTTTATTCAGTAAGTATTTGTGGAGCACTCTACTGAGTATGACACCCAGATGAGGATGTCTTACATTTACATGTAAAGAACCGGACATGTAAATGTGAGCTCAGATGAGTTCTGGACTCACGACAGATTTAGAACCATCTTTCAACAGAAATGTCAAGGAAGTCAAGGACCAATAAAGGTCCTTTGTTGTGTTTAGCAACAAAGAAATTGTGATTGATTTCAGCGAAAGCAGTTTGGCTAGAGGAACAACATGCGAGTCAGTTTGAAGTGGGTTAAGAAGAGAGTGGGAGGTCAGACAGGGGAGATTGCACCATGGACAACCCTTTCAGGCAGATATGTTAGGAAGGGGAAGAAAGGGACAGGGTCAAAGCTGAAGTAGAACACAGGAATCAAGGGAGAGTTTTTAAGATGGGAGATAATTGAAAGCAAGTATTTCAATACATATGATACAGCGAAGTAACTATTGTTTTGTGTTCTTTCATTAGATGGTCAGTCAGGTATGGCCACGAGAGAGCACAAAAGGGAGGTGAAGGAAAACGAAGTTTATTGTATTCAGAGTTCCTACAGAAACAGGGTCACATGGTGGGAGGATGGCGGGAGGGAAGGAGAAGTACTAAGGCAGCCAGCTCAACCAAGCAAGCAAGGATCAGAGAGACCAAGAGAGCAAGTGCCTTGATCAGGGATCAGTGTGGGGTACACAGGCAAAAAGCAGGAGGGGATTTCATTGGTGCATTTGAATGTCACTAGGTTAAAATCAGAGGACGGCAACAAGCAGAACTTAGGGCTGGGGCCAGCCTTATCACACTGGTGCACCTGGCTGCCTGGGCACGGTGCTCATAGACTGTAGGCATTGAGGCAGCAGGAAATATGATGTTTCAAAATTTACAAAACTACTACTAATTCACTGAGTGTTTATTGAAAACACATTATGAGGTGAAATATGAGATGAGAAATGCATAGTTCTTGCTCTCATGGAGTTTGCGAACTAGGTCACTCCATAAAGTCAATCACTAATATAATAGAATTGAAAGAATATGGCTCATCCAAGTAGTATGAGCAGTACTATATGGATTAAAATGTTGAAGGTTATTTATTCATGTTGGATTAGGAAAGATATTTTGGAGAAAGCGGACCTTAAAGAATGAAATATTCCAACAGTAGGAGGTGGGAAATCAAAGCACAAAGGATGTGGAAGGCCATGGGGTATCATATTGGATATTTGGTTATTATACTGTAGTCTCAAAAGATATTTTTTTTTGGAAGGGAGAGTACAGGAAAGAAGAATGAAGGACAGAAAGGGGAAAATTCCAGGCATAAGATAAATTTTAGAACAATTCACTTGTGTTTTGAATCCTTTTGCTAATTTGCTCAAAGTATTTAGTTAATTCAACAGGTATTTACTTAGTGCTTACTATGTATAAGGCTGACACATAATCTCAAGGAGCTCCCAGTCAAGTGTATGTTCAGTTCTATAAGACAAGGAAATACCCAATGATAAGAGATTACATAGGCGAAATGTGTATGGAGGGAACAGAAAACCCAGAGTAGCCTTTCCAGAAGAGAGAGAGAAGCAGTTTCAAATATTACGGACGGAATAGAGTAAAAGGATACCTGAAATGGGTCTGTGGGCTTTTGCAATATGGAGGAAACTGCAGGAGCAGTTTCATTGAAGAAATTGGGAGCAAAATTATAACTGTTATAGACCGAATATTGATTAGGAAGTGAGGGAATGAGGACAGGGAAAGAGGAGAAATACCTTTAGAGGTAAATATATGGCAGCTGCTGAGGGCAAAGTAAGAAAGAATAAGATAAAAAAAGATCCTATAATTTTAAATCTCAGTGAATAATGGCATCAATGACAAAATAGGGAAATCAGGACAAATACTTAATTTTAAGGGAGCTTTGGTTTCTCCTTGATTAAGTTTGAAATATGGATAGACATTTAGTCCATGATTGAAAAAGAAAAAAAGTATACAAAAAATTTAAAGAAATGTTAGGTCTAGACACAGCTTATTTCGATTTGCATAAGCTAGGTAGTTGCAGCCAGGGTCCTAGCAGATAAAACAGTGGAGGGGAGAGAAGAGTATAAAGCACAAGAGAAAAGGATGAGAAAGAAGGTTAAAAGTCAGAGGAAATGACTGACAAGAAGTGGTCAGAAAAGTGAAGGAAACCATCAGAGGGAGTTGTTATGGCAGTTAAAGAGAGTTTTGTTTTCATGGTTGTATAATCTTCAAAGGTTAGACTGTTTGCTCTAAAGCAGAATAAAGACCAAGAAAATGCCATTGATTGTGACAGCTAATAATTATTGATAATCTTGAGAGCCATTTGTTCCCAAATGGAGACAGGCATTTTAGTAGATTGATTAAAACAACAGACACTAGATTGCAAGGAGTTAAGGCGTGAGTGGGATTTCTTTTCTATTGCTGCAGAGAAGGTGATAGAAAACCTTAATATGAGGTTGTCGTAAGGTTGAGAGAAGACCGGAGCATATTTATATGAATAACTGTATGTGTAGAGGAATAAAGTCATTGGAGGTGACACTTGAAAGGGAAAGGTAGAAAATTGATGAAGCAAAGTTGGGGAGACAGTATGATTTAGCTTCTATCTCAGTGTTTCTGTCAGAATTTAATGAAGTCATGGGTATAACATATCTGATATATAATAGGTTTTCAGTAAGTATGATCTGTTAGTATTTTGGAGTCAGACGAAATGAAGAAGGAATTTATCAAGTGCCTACTCTGTGCCAAACTCATGTTGTTTCACTTCCCCTCCACAACAACTCACTGAGCTGGGTGTTGTCAGCCACATTTTGTATCTGATAAAACCAGAGGTGAGGCCTTGCTTTATGTCACAACGAAGTAACAGCTGAGTTTGGATTTGAACGTAAGTCCATCAGAGACTAAAGATACCACGAGGCCTTACAATTTTATGAATACTTTTGGTTTTACACAGGAGTAAAGGAAACAAGGGAAGTAATTTGAATAAGCTTTTTTTGAAGAAGCTTTTGCTGAACAGGTTGTATGTTCTTTGTGAAGCAAAAGGTGAGACATTTGCTGAGAGTGAGGAAGTCCAGGGAGGAGAGGAGACTGAGGAGCGTGAAGAAGACTTGAAATAGCAAATGTAGGGAGTTTGGGCATCATTAAGAAAGAAAACAAGTGGAGGTAGTGTGTCCGGAATTGGTGGGTTCTTGGTCTCACTGACTTCAAGAATGAAGCCGCGGACCCTCGCGGTCAGTGTTATAGTTCTTAAAGATGGTGTGTCCAGAGTTTGTTCCTTCAGACGTTCGGATGTGTCTAGAACGTCTTCCTTCTGGTGGGTTTGTGGTCTCGCTGTCAGGAGTGAAGCTGCAGACGTTCGTGGTGAGTGTTACAGCTCTTAAAGGCAGTGCGTCTGGAGTTGTTCGTTCTTCCCGGTGGGTTCATGGTCTTGCTGGCTTCAGGAGTGAAGCTGTAGACCTTTGCAGTGAGTGTTACAGCTCATAAAGGCAGCGTGGACCAAAAGTGAGCAGCAGCAAGATTTATTGCAAAGAGCAAAAGAACAACACTTCCACAGTGTGCAAGGGGACCTGAGCAGGTTGCCACTGCTGGCTCAGGCAGCCTGCTTTCATTGCCTTATCTGGTCCCACCCACATTCTGCTGATTGGTCCATTTTACAGAGCGCTGATTGGTCCACTTTATAGAGAGCTGATTGGTGCATTTACAATCCTTGAGCTAGACACAGAGTCACAGAGTGCTAGACCTCCAAGTCTCCACTAGATTAGCTAGATACAGAGTGCTGATTGGTGTATTTAGGAACCCTGAGCAAGACACAGAGTGCTATTGGTGCATTTACAATCCTTGAGCTAGACACAGTG